AAACGTCGGCGGAGAGAGGTCGGAAGAGAGGGATGACAGGGGGGGAGAGAGAGAGAGGGGGAGGGGGTGAGTGAGTGGGTGAGTGACAAAGGTGACAGGATGAAACATGCCAACCACAGGTAATGCTGTAAAACAGCCAGTCGCTGTGACAGATAAAGTACACAGTCAGCAGTCAGCAGCAGCAGGGAGTTTGGTGGAGAAGGGTTTAAAATTCATGAAGCACATTAGGGAGGGGTTGACTTGGAATTTCTGCATCTTCAAATCCTACTGTGGTGGAGGGTTTTTTTTTCCTTCTTCTTCTTCTTCTTGGCACAGAGAATATAACTGATGAGTGGACAATTTGTACCTGATTTAACTTTGAGAAGAAAAAAAAAGCGGAGGAGGAAGAAGTGGCTTTTATACAGCGACATGTTTAGCATCGGAGATAATGGACGAGCAGATAATTAGCAGAACACCTCAAGGTCAAAAGGAGCAACTGGAGGAAAAGCTCCTGAGCACAGAAAAAAAGGTGCAATTCTCTATAGATTAAATTTAGATGGATTTAAAAAAAAAAAGATTTTTTTTTCCCATTAATTAAAAAGGACAAACTGTGTGATCCATAGATAAACTCTCTTGGCCGTAACTCAGAAGAAAGGGAGTTCATTTTCCGGCCATAGAGATTAGAATTAAATCATAGACCGTATATAAGGGCGGAAAATAGAAAAGTTCCATCATTGGTTGCAGGATAAAGGCCCAGAAAAAGGCGCCCACCAAACGGCCAGGTTCCTTTTGGCCCATCCATCACCCGTCAGGAAAGAACTCCCAGCCGATGGGAGGTTGACTCAAAGCTGCTGATGGCTCTGTCCAGTCCTTATATACAGTCTATAGTTTGAGTCCAGCTAAGTACTGATAGCCCCCCCCCCGCCCTCCGGCCCCTTCCTCGCTGTCCGTTCAATGACGTAATGCCTCTCCATTCAGCGCTGAAGGGTTTGATCCTGGAACGGTGGGACAAACTTTTCTCCAAACTTCTGAAAGAGTAACAGAGCCTGAGAACCGTGACTGTCCTGTCCAGTTTGGGAGGACGACAACTGGCAGCGCCTTGTACTGACCTGCCATCGTATCTTATACATTCCACTGCACAACAACACCTTCTCACGCCTTCTCTTCTTTTCCCCCATCACACAAACGTTTCTTTCAAGAAAAAAAATATTTCTTGGCTTTTATACTTCTATAGCTAACATACGCTAACACGCTAATGTCCCTCAGTGTGGTACTGCACCCTGGAAGAGTTACGGTGGGAACGGCCTCTGTGTATTGACTACGGCTGTCGAAATGAATATCTTCATAAAATCAGAATTTTGTAGAGATTTTAAGACATGGATAGAAAAATTAACGTTTATCCGATAATTCTGCCATGCGTAGAAAATGATCTAACGTTTATCCGATAATTCTGCCATCCAATCGTCAACTGTTCTGATTATTTATCTATATTTGGAGTTAGTATTTAACTACAGAGGAGAGACATGTTAATCACACAGACTTTTTCCATATTAATAATTCCATCATTTGGATTAGTGACAAATAAAAACAGGTGAGAAACACTGACCTCTACCTGCTGATATTTGTCTTTCTGTTCCATCAACTTAAGGAAAAAATGTTTGTAATTTATTGAAATAAACCACAATTTATGCATAATAACTGTGTGACAGCCTGGAGTATTTACTGCTTCTAAATATGTGAGTACTACTTTGTTTTGCAGTAAAACATTAAAACACTCAGTTCTGATTCATCCAGAACCAGAAACTGCAACAACAACAAAAAAAACAGTTCTCAGAAACAGCTGTTGATCAGCTGTCGTCATCGTCAGCTCCTCCACTAATGTGACATGATAGTCCGACTCCACGGGGGACACTCAGCACCTGATCAGCTCAGAACAGGTCATGTCCATCATCATCATCATCATCATCATCATCATCATCATCACACCCTCTGCTAGTCCTCTACTGCCACCTATCTGTTGCTGTCAGACAACCACCGGTGCTGACAGAACTTCACGCAGGCGCTGGGTGAAACCAGTGGCTTCACTCTTACACTCTGGTACTTTTTACAAATGAGGTCAAGGACTCAGAGGTCCACGGGAGAGTCTTAAAGTGGGCCGGGGAGAGGAAAAAAAAAAAAGAAGAGAAGATTGTATTTGATCCATTTGCAGCTTTAGTGTTTCATCCAAAGTTTTTTCATTAAACTTTGACAACGACGACGACGACTCTTCTAAACGTTAAGGCCTCTAATCAGAAGGACAAACTCAGCACCACACCAGCAAACGGGTGTGTGTGTGTGTGTGTGTATACTGGTTGCTTAGTGACGGTGTAGGCAATGAAGAGATCCAGTATCAGATACAGTATCACAGAGAAATCAAGGAATTGAACCCCCCACCACGCGTCCGTCATTGGCTGCAGTCGTATCCAGTACGGCTGACGTGACCTCAGCACCACGCTGAGCCTGATGACAACCCAATGTTGTTATTTTGACAACCC